AATAGAATAATGGGAGTTTAACATTGAGTAAGTCAACTGAAAATTACATTTAAAAATGAAATCTCCTCCCACATATTCCAGGTGATTGGTAAAAAATAATTTCCAAGGGTGAAATTTAGGAGATAGGTATCGTTTTACCCACCCAACATTAATGGCTTTTTGCATTCCATGTATATCAATCATACCCAAACCTCCTTGGCATATGTCTCCTATCAGTGTGTTGCTTGCTACTCTATCGTGTCCTTGCCATATGAATGTATATATTTTAGTATTTATGAGTTTAATATCCTGTTGTAGAATTGTAATATGGTTGAAAATAAATAGTAATTTTGGAATAACAAAAGTTTTAATAATCTGAGTTCTGCCAATAATTGTCAAACTACGTCTAGACCAGCATTGCAACACACTATTTAAGCACTTTATTGGTATATTTATGTTCATTTCATATGCTGCTTTAGCATCATAGGAAAAGAAGACACCTACAATTTTGATAGGAGACATAGGCCATTTCTGTCTTGACAGAAGCGCCATCTGCCCAACCAAATTGCTTCAGTTTTGTCATAATTGACCTTTAACCCTGAAACCAGTGCAAATTTGTTAAAAGAGAGAGAGAAGGTTTTCGCCTGATTTTACATCTGCAACAAAGCAGGTAAGATCGTCGGCATAGGCTGAGCTTTTAATTTGTTGTCCACCAATAGTTATCCCTTTAATCCCGTCACTGTGTTTCTGATTAAGTAATAAAAGCTCCAGAGACAAAATAAACAGTATTGGGGATAGGGGGGTCCCCTTGCCTAAATGTTATTTATTTGTATAAATATAATTGTTTCCCCAGTAAGACCCCCTTCTTAAGGTAGCAACAGGGGGAAATCTGGTCAAATTTTCATGTTTTTTTTTAATAATCGGTATATCACTTTCTTTTAGTGTATTCTTTCAGAACAACTAACAAAAAAATAGTACTAACGTTATTTTAGACATAAACTGGGGAGAGAACTGAGCACAGCAAGCTGACTTCCATTCACCATTCAAAATGCAAACAGCCACTTAATTATTTACTTAATCCAAATGATGGCCAAATTGTGAACAATAGCATTACATTGCTTCAAGTAATCTATTATCTCTACAGCTTGGTTGTTTGCTATTGTAAATACTAGTACAGCAAGTCTCAGAAGTATTGGGGCAGCCAATTTGCAAACTCGCTAGCGAATTGGTTAACTGCTTGGGTTTTGACTAAAC